GTTGTCATACAAATCTGAAAGCAAGCAGTTGCGGCAAGCAAGCCACCCATCTAAAGCAGATGCAGAAAAACGTTCGCAAAAGAACCCGACTGTAAGTACATTAACATTATTAGTCTTAACTCTTAAATAACGCCTTTCATATTTCAAGTTGTTCCTACATTTTCCAGAGAAGTCTCCGGTGTAAAGGTATAACGGAAGGATACACTGCTTTGCGGGAAAGCGGAAGTTAGCTGACGTCACTGTAAAAAGGGCCTATACATTCAAGGTTTTTTCAAGAAGAAACCATGCATGTCAAAGACAGTTTGATGCAGTACAGTGCAGTGCAGGTCAGAGCCAATCCACCAGGCAGGGCCAAGTTGGCCAGCAAATGAGCAGCCCTGAAACTGGCACACACACACACAGTCTGTTTGGACAATAAAATAAGTTGAGAACAATTATTGTCTGTTCAATGGTTTTTATTTATAAAAAGAGAGATGCGTTGTCCAGGCACTTGTGCAGTGCCATTTTTATGTCATCCCGCTTGTGTTGGGGCACATGACTTTTACCATGGGTCCCCCTGTGCCACCCCATTAAAAAAATCCTAGAATCTCCCCGAACAAAAATAACCATAAATGTAAGCATTTTTGGCATTAATAATGATTTTAATGAAACGTAATCGTTTGTTTTGTTACATTCAATCGTGTGTTCATATTTACGGTCATGTTATTCAAAGAAATGTTTGCAAAAAATCGCTAAAGTTTGCTAACGTTAAACCATGACTGCACGATAGTGCCACAACCTATTTTCATGCCTGATCAGGGTGACTGCTGGAGGGTAATAAGAAATGACTTATGTGAGACTATATGACTTAAATGAGAGAGAGAAAAAAACAGCAATTTCATCCTCTCGTTGATGGAAAATATAATGTAGCGATTCAGTATTTAAACTATGTTATTATTAAAAGTCGCGGGGGCAGCATTGACAAGTTTCTTTTCTCCTGGATTTGTGACCAGCACACCATTATAGGTGTGTGTATTTGTAATGGAGGCCAGCGGGTAGGTGCTGTGCAGGTAAACCTCACTCCCCAGATCTCAAGAGGCGCAGTAGCGACTGACACTGTTTCAAGGGACAAGGGGTAGGGGTATAAAATAGAATTGGGATTGGGCCTAAGTGAGTACTCAAACTACAGCACTATATTCCCTTTTACTTTACTCTCAACACCCTCACACACAGAAACATGAACTACGTCACATCTGGCAAACCTGTGACGAAATTCTCTGAGACCATTTCCTTTAACAGTTCCCAAACCACTTAAAATATCAGGCAGACATTTTACTTGCATACAAAAAATAAAATAATAAATATAATTAATGAATGTTTAACAGTAAGATTCCTTTATTGGTTTTCAGACTGTTCAAAAGACTATCTTTTGTGTTCAACAGAAGAAAGAAAATGATACAGGTTTGGCACAATTTGAGGGCAAGTAAATGACAACAGTATATCCATTTTTGGATTAACTATCCCTTTAATAACAGGGTACTCATAATGTGCTTGGCAAACTCCCGTTTCAATAAGCTTACAGCAAACAATACTATGTCCATTTGATCATCTATATTTGTTTTCTGGTCTGCACTAGACAGATTGCCCCATACCACAAGCACACATATGTGTGCAAGCATGTTCATCAGAGAAATAATGAACGATGACATTTTTACCCATTTCTCTAACTTGAGTTCTAGTTTGTTAACTGAAGCTCAAACTCATGAACATACACTAGGAACAAAGTTTTTTTGTGGTAACAAAAACAAAATGATAAAAAGTTTAAAATGTATTCATGAATTTATGCAAACAAAACATCAGTCAAAAATAACTTCCTAGTAACATTTCTACTGTGGAGACAACAAACGCAAAAGGTCAAGTAGGTAAAAATGATTTATGGCTCAAATGAGTATATTTTCAAAGGAACAGTAATGTTCCATAAAAAAAAAAAAAAAGTACCAGACACTATACTATACAGTATATTCAACTGACCCTTCACAATTAAAATTTGCAAATGAAGCACCTATTTAAAAGATTTCTCAAGCCAATCTGGCCATAGAGCCCACAGTGTGAAATGTTCCCTCATTACAGTAATTACAGAACGTTTAAATTTATCTTCAGATTCAGTGGCAGGAAGCAACCCCAGTGGGTCCAGGATGGTGAGAGTATGTGAATCTGTGTGTTTGCTGTTAAGAGGCCACAAACCAAGCAGCTTTGTGTGTGGTCAGATGATATTGCAGAAAAATCTTTTTCTTCTTGTGTACTGTACAAACTCTTTAATTAAAAAATTATTTTCGAATGAACTTTTCATTTAAACACTGACATATTACAAGTTGGATGCTATCGCTATGTCTTTACAGCACTCAATAATTTGTAAAACAATAAACAGAACAAAAACATCAGAAATGCTTAAAACAATGTGTATTTTAATGTTAGTTCGGACTACTTTCGCTGGCTGATACCATTATCAGTCAGACAGAGATGGAGAACGAATGGAGCGGCCACTGGCAGGGCTGTTACTAAAGGCGTGAGAGTCTCTGTCTTTATCTTTGTCTTTACTCTCATGCTTGTGTTTGTGTTTATGTTTGTGTTTGTGCTTCTTCTTCTTCTTCTTGTGCTCATGATGATGATGGTGGTGGTGGTGATCTCCATGTTTAGAGGATGTGCTCTCTTTGCTCAGTGTGGGCATGGGTGTTCCTGGCATGGACAACATGGCTTGCTCCACTGAAGATGGTTCTTTACCTGTAAAAATGAGAGAAAAGTTGAAGCAATGTCCTGATGTCTATCGACAGAGTTAAGACAACTCATTCATCCAGCTGTTTCTGAATTTTTTTTTTCCTGTTTCTGCTATGTGGTCGATAGTGTGTGTAGAAATAGTGCAGTATGTGTCATGCCTGGAGTTGAGGGTCTCTCCAACATGTTCAGTTGGTGGTAGATGAACGCCTGGCTGTCATGAACTGTGTCCATATCAATATCTTCCTCCTCCTGGGTGGGAAACTGACAGAAGTTGAAAAACATTACAGTACACTACAACATTATAAGATGAAGTCATATTTTCTCCAATCAGTGGAGATTCAACTACACACAGTGAATTGTAGTCTTTAGAACATTTGGCACTAAATACACATTTCAAATTTTTAGGGCTTTCTTTTTTTAACGGTACCGTAGCATGGATCTAATTATAACCACGTTATAGAACATATTTGTATTTAATAGAACATTTATATCTACTGATGAATTTAAAACATCACAAAGAATGTGGAAGAGTATGCGATTGTTTTTTTGTAAAAGACCTCTGTATTTAATGT